ATCTGCACTAAAAATAGAAAGGATTGGAGGTCTGTGAAAGGTATTGTGAAGATATAATCAACAAGATTTGAAAATGCTGTGAATGTGGGTGGTGAGGGAGAAGGAGGCAAAGATAACAGCCAGGGTGACTGAGTTAATGGCAGTGCCACTGACAGAAATAGGCACATGAATTAGGAGGAAAAAAATAAAAGGAACAAGAACACGAAAGCCTGCATGGGAAAATTATAATATACAGAAGACTTTATGTAACCAATTTGTACCTCCAAAAATCATCAAGCCAACTGATTTTTTTTTTCCAGAGAAAATTAAAGGTACCTCTCAAGATGAACATACAGCACATACACATACCCATGAGAAGTAAAAGAAGTGGATATACTAAAGACATTAATTAGAAAATACAGAATACTTGGAATAATAAGAAAGAAAGAAAAAGACATGTGACTTCATCAGCAAGTAAGCAAATGTGAAAAATATTACATTGCTAACAACCCAGAGAAGTCAGTATTCTGTATGAAAACGAATGATCCGTTTAAGTCAATAAACCTTTAACACCTACTGTGTGCAAAGCACTGTGCCAGGCACTGGGAGCCACACAATATTTTGCTAACATCCAGCTTACTTTCTATCCTCAAAGAGCTTACAACCCAGTAGGATCCAGCCATGTGGATGCAGGGGAAAAATGATTATTTCCTTTTAACCCTATTATGCCATCTTTAATAGAATGCCTCCATTTCAGTTCATCTTGGCTTGGGAATGGTGCTCCCAAATTTCACTGGAAAGGGAGTGGCCTTCCTGCCCCAGACATTTTAAAACACAAAGTAAAAATTCCAATGGGCCAGCAGCAGGTGCTGGTAATCCAGGCCTTCCATTGTAAAGGTTTTCATGTGCTCAACTCTCCACGTCTTCTTGTCAGATTATAGCTTCACAATGTTTTTAATTGAAAAAATATGGGTAATTTTGAAGTCAGAAAAACAAAGTACCGATTACTAAAAGAACTAATTATTGCCTTCCTTTCCTCAGAAGATGTGTTAGTTTAACAGACATACACAATATGGGTCTGTATCCCCAGGTAGAGATACTCAACATTCCACACTCCTGCTGGGAATTCTGTCATAGCCTTTCCTGATAAGGTTTGTGGATTTTTCTTAAAGCCAAAGAAATGTGTGTAATTAAGATGATGTCCTAAACTAGAGTCTGAAAGGGAAAGGTTAGGGAGCAAGCCATTGGCCGGCTGTGTGGCCAGGCTTCCCCAGGCAAACCAGTATTAGCCCACTCCAGAAGGAAACCAGGATTTCAGGAATGCCAGGATTTTCATCAGGTTTCTAGGCAAACCTGCAAGAGCTTATGTCGTCCTCCTAGCATGAGTCTAAGACAGTGGTTCTCCAACTTTTTGGTCTTAGAACCCCTTCCCCTTTACATTCTTAAAAACTGAAGACTTCCCAAGAGCTTTTGTTCATGTGGGTTGTAATCTATCAATATTTACTATATTAGAAATTTAAATATCTTAGCATTATTATGAAAAGAGGTTTGACCTTTCAGACCCTCTAAAAGGGTGTGAGGGACCACCAGGAGTCCCCAGATCATGCTTGGAGAACCACTGGCCTAAGCTTATGCTGACAACGCCAATACCAGTAAGTACATTAACATCACCAATCCCACGAGGACATGCCTTCCAAGTGTCTGTCACAAGGAGAAATTACACTGATTGTGATTTTCACTTGAAATTAAGATTATACTTCAAAAGCATCCAAATGTTTGATTTAACATATAATTGTTCTAAAGCTATGAAAATGTATGTGGTACGCCAATTTTCATTCAGAAACAGGACAGATATCAAGTTGGACATTTCAGTAAGTAACCCAATGACAATATATTCCTCTGCTTAATGCATTTTAAATATCTAACTGACCTTTATTAAAATTGATGGGCATACTGATTATGTAATTAAGGTAAATTATTAAAACACCAACGTGTTGATGCTAAGAAATCTACTTTTCTTCAACTCAATTTGTAACTTCTTATTTTCTCTTACACTTGTGTCTGAAACATATTCTTACTAATAACACAAGTCAGATTGCCCTTAGTTAACTTTTTCCTATAATAAAGACAGTTGCTACTCCAATTAGATGATAAAATTTTCTTTTAAAAAAAAGTCATGCCAAATCCTAGGTAAAAGTAAAATTCAACTACATTTTTATGCTAACAGATAATGTAATCTATTGGACATCTTCAGTAAGGTTACTAAGTTAGTAGCTGGGGACACTGTAAGAAGGCACTTAATAAAGCCTCTCATAATATTCTTGCAGAAAAGATGAAGAAATATGGGCTGAATGATAGTGCATTTGCATCAGTTTAGAACTACCTGAAAAAAAAAAAAAAGAAAAAAAAAACTCCCTGAAAGACCAAACTGAAAAAGCATGAAGAGATGAACACTACAATCAAGAAAGTCTGCAAAAGATGACCACGGGATATTTTCCCCAGCCTTTCCCCGTTAAATATTTTTCAGTAATTTCTGTAAATGTCTTGAAAAAAATATATATATACATATGTGTGTGTGTGTGTGTGTGTGTGTATACTCATCAAATTCAGAGATAACACAAAGCTAGGAGTGATAGCTAATATATTAGATGAAGAAATCAAGATGTAGAAAGAGCTTGAACTCTAGGAATGCTGGACCAAAACAAGAACAGCCCCCAAATGAACACCTCTTCACATAGTGATGCTTCCTGAATGCCCTCCTAGAGATGTTCCTTTCCAAATTGAAGCAGGCCAGTCCTTGGGAAAACAGTTCCCTATTATATTCCACCCCTCTCCAAGCCTTTCCAGCTGGGCTAGATTTGATAGAGCTAATATTCCCCTGGCGTAGAGGTCATAATGAGGCATCCAAGGAAGATGTCAACTGGAGTTATTTATGACATTTCCCATAATCAATCTATAAAGCTGAAATTTAGGGACACAACTATTGTCTTAGTAATTTCCTTCCTAAATGTGATATTTCACTAACTTCTCTGGGTGTTTCAGATGGTGGTGTATTAAATCACTCACTGCCTACAAAAACTGCTTTATAATATCTTTGATCTTCCAACAAGTGGGTGTGTAAGGATGGTGGGCAGTGAAAAAAAATGGCCAAGTTACTATTCACGTACTCAAAGGCAAAGAATTATTTATGGTTATGAGTATAAAGAAAATTGCTCCATTTTATATTTTGCTTTGAGTTTCAAAGCTCTATTGTTATTTTATGTCTCCAAACTTTGTTTCTTCACTATGATGCCAAACAGATTCTTCCTGAATGACTTCTTTAGAAAACTAATACATTTTCCCAAGATAAACTACATTCACGGAAAATGCCTTCCAGGGACCTGGATGATATTCTGACTGAAAACACACAACCATCACACAGAGATGAATGTTCCAGGGGTACTATGATCTAGGAAATCTTTGATCTTTGATATATGTCACTTAAAGTGTTTCTATTTAATACCTAATTAATTTGGTTGACCTTTCCCTTAATTCTAAAACTTCAATTAAAGTAAAACTTAACTAAGATTTTTTTACCTGGTCACCTGGATTGTTTCTGATGCTCAAAGTTAAATACTATGGGTATAATAATGATACTGATGATAATAATAATAATGATAATAGCTAATAATTATATAGCACCTTAAGGTGTACAAAGTGCTTTACAAATATTATCCCCTCTGATTCTTACAACTTTTGAAGGTATATAGTAATATTATCTCCATTTTACAGATGGGGAAACTGAGGCAAATAGCAGGTAAGCGGCTTACTCAGGGTCACACAGCTAGTAGGTGTCTAAGGCTAGCTTTGAATTCAAGTCTTCCTGACTCCAGGTCCATCGCTCTACCCACTGTGCCACCTAGCACCACACAATCCTATTGCATCTATTTGAGTGAGGAAATGTATTAAAGTACAACTGTGCATAATAAACAGTTTTCACATCTTCAAAAACAAGGGTTTCATCATAATCTGCTTTGTAAGTATCCTCTCAAACTTTAATCTAAAACTGGATTTTGGAAATATAAAAGTCTAAGTCACAGGATCCTTCTTTGAGGAAAAGGATCAATCTACAGTATTTTGAGTGCAAGAAGAGCATAAAAGGTGCCAACTGCTTAGCTCTATGATGAACTACCAAAATCATGACATGGAGCACATCTCATCAGGTACCCTGACAACTTCTAATGAAAGTCATTCAGCTTCTTGGTTGCTTCCAGACTGGGATAAATAATAATTTAAAAGTATATGTGATGTAAGATGATCAACTGTGAATGATTTAGCTATTCTTAGCAATACAATGATCCACAACAATTCCAAAGGACTTATGATAAAAATGCTCTCCACCTCCAGAGAAAGACCTGATGGAGGCTGAATGCAGATTGAGGCATACTTTTTTTTAACTTTCTCTATTTTTCTTGGGTTTTTTTTGTCTGTGTTTTCTTTCACAACATGACTAATCTGGAAATATGTTTTGCATGACTACACATGCACAACCTCTATCAAATTGCTTGCCGTCTCAATGAAGGTGAAGGGAAGGAAGGGAGGGAGGGAGGGAGAGAATTTGGAACTCATAAAAATGTTAAAAATTGTTTTTATATGTAATTGGAGAAAGACAAATATTGATTACTTTTTTTAAAAAAATTTACGTGTTGACAGTCAGTGCAACTGAAAATAGTAATTGGGCAGTGTGGCAGTAGCGGATAAAGTGCTGGGCCTGGAGTCAGGAACTGACTAGTATGTCACGTCACCCTGTTGGCCTCAGTTTCCTCATCTGTAAAAAGAGCTGGAAAAGAAATGTCAAACCACCCCAGTATCTTTGCCAAGAAAATCCCAAATTGGGTCACAAAGACTCAGACACAACTGAAACAACTGAACAACAGTAAAAGCAATTACAAAACTCAATAAGCAACTGGAATGCTTTTCTTGTCATCATCTGTAGCAAACGATAACTCTGAGCTGACTGTGTGGGTCCCTCCACTACATACCACAACTCCAAACTGTTCAGGCTCACAGAGGTCGGCATATTCATCCTTCAGTTGGGCTAAGGCACTAAGTTCCTTCTGCTCAGGAAGATTCTTTACCAGGTTCTGAAAGAAAGCAATGAGTATACACAAACGTATTGTTAGGTAGGTCCAAGTGTTTATATGTAAAGACAAATATTTCAGGAGAGGAGCTCTAAGACAAAGTCTTCACTACAGCTCTTTGCTAGCATAAAGAAAGAATGTGTGTAATCTTCCCCAATGGAAGGGACCCCACATTGGAGTCATGAGCATTTCTACAATATGTCAAGAGTTTTCCATCCATTAGCTCATCTGAGTTTTGTAACAAGCTCCTGAGGCAGGCACTACAGGAATTACTATTTCCATTTTACTGATGAGGAAATGGAGGCCTTGTCCATGGCATGGTCACTCATCAGAAGAGGGTACAAATGCTGTTCTTCTTGGCTTTGGATCTGGCACTGGAGGCACAACACCATGTTCCCATTCAAGATGGTCATGACGAAGGTCAGCTGTTTATGCTGAACTCTTGGCTGCTATGCATAACTTCCCTTAACATTTGAGTAACCAGACATGGCACACAGGCATATGAATCACGCATCTCTTTCTCTCTCTCTCTGATCTTTCTTTTTTAGCCAAAAGAAAAGTTTCAACACGTTGATAGTGTTGCCTCAGTGACCGATCCTTTGGCACGGTTTCTCTCTTAAAGCCTGCATTTGCTTATGCAATGATTGATTGTGAAACTCCCATATTGTAAGTTATTGGGGTTTCAGAATAAACCAATGACCAAGGTTGCTGGACTCCAATTCAACAATAAGTTCATTGTGCTTGTGTCATGCTCATATCATGTTAATTTGTATTATAAAGATATAAATAGTATTCCAAAATTTAATGAGTTGCTGGGCCTTTAATATGTAGCCAAATATTTCCATCTTCATTTTTAATAGGAAACGTTTTGCAAACTAAAGCAACCATACACAGGCATGTTTCTTTGTATGTGTATGGATGTATTTAAAAAGAGAACTGGCTCACAGACTCATGCAAATTCATACTTCAAAAACTACCTACACTTTACAAAATTTTATAAAAAAAATTCTGGCCAGCCTAAATCTGATAAACTGTACTAGGCCTAAATGAAAATTCTCCATTATCAAAAATGGCACTATTTATGCACACAATGCATTCCTATGTTTAATGGGGAATTAAGCAAAAATGATAACATCTGCTGCATACTCATGTTTGGTGCCTGGGAGAATAAAAATTGATTAATTCATTTGAACAGCTCCAGCTAATCCTAGACTTTGGGACAGACCTAACTGTTGTCATGTTGGCCTTCAACCAACACGTGAGGAAACTCTATAGAATTTCAATAGGTTAGGAACATGATATTACGATATAAGACAGACATTGACATAAAGCTTTAGGATAGGGCCAAGCACCCGACTCCCACCAAATAACATTCAAGGCAAGGGTGATCCAGAGTTTTCTACAGCACATGCTTTGGTTTCTTTTTCTCTTCATTCTTTCCCCTCCCCCTACATTTTGCTTTCCCATGGAGCCCAAGATACTGCTGGCCTGTGACTTAGGAAATATATGGACACACAGATAACTGTAAAATCATCTGGGGACTGGAAATAATTTGCATTATTCAAATATAGAATATTTTTTAATGTAAGCAAAATGGCAGATTCAGAGTTGTATGTTCAGAAAAAGATAAGTGAAGATTAAAGATTTATTTCTGTTTGTCCAGAGAATGGGGAAAGGAAATATGAAAAAAGCTCATCTTATCTTTTCAAAATCAAAATATTTGTCGATGCATGAAAATTATTCATATTTTGTTTGCTTGTTGTTAATGGGATTTTGTGAAGTATTCCATTAAGGACAACAAAGACTGATTCTGATAACTTGAGTGATTTTCACTACAGTGAAAACTAAATTAGAAAGATTAGGGATAATGTTATTGAAATTAGGAAAAAAAACAATTATGCATACATCAAACTCTCTATCTCAATGATAAGTTTTAACTACTAAAACAAAGATTATGGAACGGATAAAGCCCCAAGAGGAAATGAACTTGGCGTGGAGACCTTTCTTTCTGTTACCGCTACTCCATGCAACAGTAGCCTGCCGGTCCTTTGGAAAACTCCATTCCTTTGTTCTTGACAACTCTACAAAGGTGAACCCATTCATGGAGCTTGGATCTCTTCTCATTTGAGGCAACTCCTTCCCTTACAAGATAAATACTGTCCAACTAGCAATGCCCAGTAAGGTCAGGGCATAAGCAAGCAAGCCTCTAGATGAAATGACTTCTCTTGAATTCATGGTTGATTAAAGTTTCTAGTAAGGCTGGAAGTGTGAACTGGTGGTCAATGATTCAGCTGCCCCTCAGATCTCAGGCTGCTAGTGACCAATTGGCCAATCCATAATAATACCAACGATAACAATAATAATAACTAGAAGTATGTAACATTTATACTAAATATAATATAGTATAGTACAGTATATAGTATTTCTATTAAACAAATGTATATGCATAGAACCTACTATGTGCCAGGTACTGTGCTAAGCCCCTTGCAAATATTATCTCATTTGATCCTCACAACAACCTTGGGATGTAGGTGCTATTATCATCTTTATTTTACAAAGGAGGAAACTAAAGCAAACACAGGTTAAGTGACTTAACCAAGGCTGCACTTCTACTCCATGTCTGATGCTGGATCTGAACTCAGGTTTTCCTCATTCCAAGCCCTGTGCTCTATCCACTGCACCACCTAAATGCCTCCTGACACTATTTATACATTTTTACACTCGTGTAATTGATGGCAATTCCAAGACATGCTAACATAAAAGCAAACACCTACTTGGAAGGCAAAAAAAAAAAAACAACAACTGGGATGCAGAGTGGGAAAGACAGATGTAAGTATTGTCAGTCTTGTTGCTAGACAGTTACATCTTTAGGACTCTACTTTCAACAGAAAGTGCGATTTCAAACATGAAAGTCAGCACCCTGTCTGAGGCCACTGCTGCTGATATCCTCTCTAAGCCAACGGAAAAGATGAACAGTCCTTGAGGTGACTGCATCCCACCTGGACCTCTTTCTCCCTTGAGATGTTATTACTTAATGTCTGGCAAATGGAAAACCAGTTTAGGGTTGCTGGTTTAGAAGGTTACAAGCTTCAGCCTAAAAAATATCAATCAAAACTAAACAAAGCACCTCTCCCCTTAATCCTCCCAACGAGGAAATTGTTGCCATTTGAATTTCATCTTTTAGAAATCACAACCTCCATTTTCCGATGACCGTCAGTGTCTCAACGAAACAGGGACCTTGAACTCCTAGCCCGGTTTCTGCAATTACTCCACAAATACTCCCAACTTTATTTTCTTTAAATGTTAATTGCCCACTTAAAGGTTAGTTTAGTGCAGGTATTGAACCCTGATGCCCTTTCCTTCTTGCCAAAACATAACCTTTCTTTCTTGTCTCATATCATCTCATTAAGTCATTCCAGTATTAGAAGAACGTATTAAGGGTTCTTTATGATTAAGTCTATTCGGCCCAATTCAACAAATATTTAGTGAATGGCTAGTGTGAGTAAGAGACTTTTTCAGACACTGTGAAGGATAAAAAGATGGACAAAGCATTAATTACCCCATGCCATGTACTGTACTAAGCATTGAGGATACAAAGAAAGGCAAAAAACAAAGTCCCTCACAGTCTAAAGGGGGAGATAACATAGAAACAACTATGCACAAACAAGATGTATATAGAAGAAGGTGGGGGCAGTCTCAACGGGAAGGCCCTAAGATTAAGAAGGACCAGGAAAGGTTTCTTGCAGGAGGGAAGACTTTAAATGAAACTTGAAGCAAGCCAGGGAAGCCAGAAGGCAAAGACAAGGAGGGAGAAATTGAGAATAGCCAGCAAAAGTGCTCAGTTTGGGGAGATAGGATGGCACGTCGTGTGGGCCAGTCAAGAGAATAGCAAAGAAGCCAGTACTACCGGATCCCAGAGTACTCAAAGGGTAGTAAGGTGTAAGAAGACTGGAAAGGTAGCAAGAGTTCAGCTTATAAACAGCTTTGAAACCCAAACAGAGCATATTTTATTTGACCCTTGACATAACAGGGAGCCAATGGAATTTAGTAATAAGAGAATGATAAGGTCAGATCTGCATTTTGGGAAGATTAACTTGATAGCTGAGTGTAGAGTAGATCGGAGAGGTGAGAAATTTGAGGCAGGGAAAACAACCAGTATCTACTATAATAAACCAGGCACGAATTGATGAGGGCCTCGAGTAGGGTGATAATAGTGTCAGAGGAGAGGAGTGTATGAAAAGCTGGAAATGACAGAACTCGACCACTGACTACACATGGGAGGTGAGAGAGTGAGGAATGAAGGATAACAACAAGGCTATAAGCCTGGATGTCTAGAAGGTGGTGGTACCTCCTGTGCAGTAATATGGAATTTTGGAAGTGGGGAGGCTTTGGGTTAGGAGGAAAGATAATCAGTTCAATTTTAAGATAGTTATGGGACATCCAGTTCAACATGTCTAAGAGACACTTGGAGATGTGAGAATGGAGGTCAGCACAGAAGTTAGGGATAAAAAAGTCCTTCTGAGAGTCATCTGCATAGAACTGATAAGTGCAAACATGGGAGCTGGTGAGATCTCTAAGTGCAATAGAATAGATGGAGGAAAGACGATAAAATGGGAAAAAAAAGTTTATAGGAGCACAAAGGAAGGAGATATTTTTAGCTAGGAGGAACCAGAAAAAGGATCATGAAAGTAATAATGTTTAAGCTAGACTTTGAAGGATGAGCAACATTCTGAGAAGCAAAAGACCATTTCATGAAGGCAAGACAATATGAAGACAAGAGCAGGAGCAGGAAAGTACCCAATATATTTGAGGGTACATCAAATCCCCACCCAAATCTCTTTCTGTAGGCTTTGTAAGTATGACCAGTTATCTTTATAATTAAAAAAGTTGTAAACTAGAATAGGACCTCTAACTTAGAACACAGAAGGCTGTTCCACAGAGCCACTATTGTTTTAAGTAGCTAATTAAAATGTTTGCTCTAAGAGTAAAACAACATTGAGACT